ATACACATCTTATATATATATATATGTGTGTGTGTGTGTGTGTGGAAAAATCTTCCAAGCAAAAGCAAATGATCCAACAATAATTGGGTGGGATAAACAAATTCTAATTTTTTTTAAAGCTAAAATTCTAAAAGAAGAATAATGATTACAAAGGTTTTTTTAATTATTAGTTAATGTTTATACATATACAATGATTTAAAAAATGTCTTGTTTTTAGTTAAAAAATATTCATTTTCAAAGTAAATTATAAACATGAATTCAAAAAAACCCCACGGAAAATAAATTTATTACCAGATTTGAATTAAAGTACTTTAATCGAAGAAGGCAGATTATTTTTTAAAATATAAAGGAAGCACTGCCTTTAATTTATAGTTTAAGGATTAATATGTTTTTAATTTTTAAAAGTATTTTACCTATTTTGTATTTTTCTTTTTACATAAATATAAGAGAACAAAATGAGACAGAGTTTCTTAAAGAACAAGAATTATATCTTACCTATTTTAATAGAGAACGAATGAAAATAAACGTTTATTTTGGACTAAGAGCAAAATCTTATTTATAAGGACCAAAATGTATAACATATTTAATTAAAAGAAACTATAAAATGATCGAACTAAGTGTATTAAGTTTGGCTTCTCTAAAATGTTAAATTTAAGATTTGTGAAAAACAGTAGTTAAAAAGAAAAAAAAAAGTACTTAATTAAAAGGAAAATGATACTTGAACAACCTCTTTTGACAACATTTAGACACGGGACAGGTGTCTAAATGGGATTGGTCCACGTGGAAAATCAAAATGAAAATGAAATCTGACGTGGAAAGGGGGTGTGCAGGGTTTTCAAGATCTGCGTTTCAAATTTGAAATTGATTTTGGAAGAATTGTTGAGAGAGAAGCGCGAAGGTTGAGAGGGAGACTGTGACCTAGAGAGAGAGGCCGAGAGAGTTGGAGAAAGGGAGTTCGAGAGAGAGAGTGGTCCGACGGAGTGCTTGCCGGAGTGCCCGCTGGACAACGTTGAAGGGTATCGATTCACGGTCGCCGATATCGGTTCACGGCCGTTACCGATTCACGGCCGCCGCAGCTCCGACGTTGGCCAACGAAGCGAAGACGGAATCGTGTTTCGTCCGGCCCAGCGAAGTAGGGGCGCGTTCAAGGTCTCGCTTCGTCCCAACTCCTTCTGTCCCTGTGCCGGAGTGCCGTCGGAGCATCGCCGGAGTGTGGACTGTTCGGTGGACGAAAAAGAGGGGTTGAAAATCCATGTTATTTTGTTGTTTTTCAAGTTCAGCCTCTTAACCCTGTTTAAGAAAAATCGTAATGAAACAACTTACTCCAAAGTCTAATAGTTTCTGTTTTCTTTTTCTTTCTCAAGGTCGTCATAGGATACAGGAGAGGTGGTTCTGTAAAATGGGTTGTCCTGAAGAAAGGACAAGCAACTCCAAGCCTTATCAGCTTCACTTGATTAGCTTTTGGGGCCTATATCTTTCATGTGGTGTTGTCTCTCTTGTTGCACTCGTTCTGTTTCTGCTGCGAAAGATTCGGCAATACTCCCGCTTCAAAAAAAGGCAAAAGGATATATCTTCTTCATCCTCAAAACAACCATGAGGCAGTCAGTGTTACCATGTTGTTGTTAACTTGTTTAAATTTATTAGTCAGTCACTGATCCCAGGATATTGGCTTTGTTTGTTCACTTGGCTTATTATTTAATTTATTTAATTTTTCTCTGAATTGTACCAATAAATCAAGTTTGGAACTCAAGTCCTATCGAATTTATTAATGTTTTGTATTGACGTTGGCCCTCATGCTTAGTAAGTAGTTTTATTGTGAACTTTTTGTAAGGAACTCTACCAATATTGTGTGCTCAATTTCTTATATTTCCATAAAAATTTCTTTTGTTATTGATGATTTGAATTATTGCTCTCTGAATATCATATTATTGATCAGAGTTTTGAAAACTACACCTACCATTTAACAAGTTGTTCAAAGTGCTTCAAAATAGGCTGAAAAAAACTGAGCCAGTGCTAGTTGATTAATGATTGTCAGGCACTCTTTGAATTCTTTGTTTCATGGATCAACACTCGTATTATAGTCCTGTTGCAGCAAAAATTAATCTAATAAATGAGGTCTTAGAATCATTTTTGTAGCAGAAATTTTCAACTATAGATATACCATGATGTTTTCCTGGTATCCATTATGCATTCACATTTTATTATTGGGGAGCCAGGGTGTCGAAGGTGAGTGGGAAGCAGAGGTGAGTGGGAGGCAGGGTGTTGAACGTGAGTGGGAGCCAGGTGAATGGGAGGCAGACTCAGGTGAAGTCCAGCAACTTGATTCTCTTCTTTCCCCCTTTTTTTTTTGAAAACGCTGCCAGAAACCCATACTATGAGTGGCTCTTCAGATGGCTAATGGCGGACAGTGGCAGGAAAGCTCGGACCGATTTTAAAAGCCACCACTACTTTTTGGACGCTCGGTCAAATACGGGAGTGCCACACGAACGACCGTTCTGTTCGAAAGATGAACGAAAGCTCATACCGAACGTTCACAAGGTAAAACAAAACTGGTCCAGGTCGAACGCTAACAGTCCCCCAAACGCCAAAACCGAACGCTCAAAAATCACTATCACACAGACCGAACGCTCGAGATTGACTTGTTTTGATGAGCGCCTCAACACACAATCTGCCGAACGCTATACTGGACCGATCGCTCAAAACCAAACGCTGCAAGGCTGAACGGTAGAACGCTTAAGCACATGGGCCAAGGATGACCGAACGGCGAAGTCGGGTGATCGAGTGCAGGAACGCTTGAGTCTAATGATTGCCGAACGTCATTGATATTGGTCAAGAAGAACGAACGGTTGCACCTAGTGGGAGAAACCGAACGTCAATAATGATTGGACGATCGTTGAGGACCAGCGGCCGAACGGTTGAGGCTTAGAAATGCCGACCGTCCTAAAGGTTTTAGGAATAAGGATGCACACAGCGGACGATCGGTTGGTGAGGATGATAGGTCAGGACGAGCGGTAGAAGCCGAGAATTGCCGAAAGTCCTAACGGCTCACAGTTGAGGACGAACGGTCACAACAACAGTCAAAAGCCGAACGTCCTTTCTCCTTCTTTTTTTTATAATTATTTTATTTTATTTTATTTATTTTTTATTTTATTTTCTTTATGATGAAAGTAAATTTATTAATCAACCCGGACGAAATTGAGTGTTGACAATGCCAAGGAACCAGTTTTTGTAAAAATCGTTGTACAGAAACAACATTGGTAGCAAGACCAATATAGTGGGGAATTCAGGCAAAGTTTTGCAGAGATAGTTCAACTTTCAAAATGACATTGATTTTTTAATGAATTTTTTTTAACCTTATTGGACATGCAAATGATCTTCAACCATTGATTATGTCATTTATTGAACATTTCTTTGATGATTTGTAAACAAAAAATATGTACATTCAAACCTAATCATCACAATTTCAAATAGTGATAGAAATCCATAAATGACATTCGTTACTATCCATTTGTAACAACCCTAAAGTTGCAACACTTCATTCCTCCACACAATGTCAACAATCCAAAATCCAATCACACACATACTTCTCCCTAACCTCTCTGAGTTCCTCCTACAAAGAAAAAAAATGCACACAATATCAATATAATGCCAATGTCAATCAAAGGGACACACCATGAAAATGTTGATAACTACACTAGTGTAATTGGATATTGTTTTGCCTTCATATTTCTGAACAACATCCCACAACTCCATAAATTTCAAAAAAAAACTCCACAATCATATCTACATCAAAAAAGTCCAAAATACAAATAATGAAATGCTACTTATATGAAAAAACAAATATTATAATTAAAAAAAAACAAGATTAAAAACTTACGAGTTCGGTTGGATTGAAGTATGCACGTGTTGAACCTACAAGAACGGTTTGTTGTCTTTGTAACGATTAAACAAATGTCCAAAAAAAAAAATTCAAGATTATGGGCCTGCAAAAAGCCAAAATCAACTTTCTTTCCAAACTACTAAATCAATTTATAAATACAAAGTACACATCAATTCCAAGACTTAGAATTACAGTGTCAATGAGATTTAGAACACCTTACAATAATTTTTCTCTCTCTCTCTAAGATAGTTAAAAGCAAACAAATAGATCATTCTCTCTAACAATAAACAATACCAATTCAGAGTTTTGAACTGTACCAGATATCAAAAACATAATATTGGTTAAGAAAATAAGGCATAATTGAGAATATTGAAATTGTGCACCGAAGATAAACTTGTAGGTTACCTCATGGACCAGGGATCCAATAAATGCAATGAAGCAGCTTTTCGATCAGCAGTAGCATAGTGATACTCTAATGTTTTCCAACATTCATTGACTGCATCTCTATTAGAAGTAAAATCATGTATGACTCTTGGTCGAAGATCAAGAGACATAAAGTTTAAAGATGCTGCATCATTTGAAATGGGTTCCTCAATATAAGGCCTAAGCTCCATGGTGTGGTATGAGGGGTTTTGATTCCATCTCTAGATAAGCAAACAGAAAAGTATGGGTGAGTTAACGTTTACCACCTATACACAAAGCATAACCATATCAAAATACAATAATTAAAGCATTAAAATTATATCATTCATCTAAAATTAAACATGATATCATCATTTAGTAAGAACACTTGAATATTCTTATCCTTATTAATATTAATAAAGACCCTGTTTTACTTCTTAACACAATTACTTTCGATCAGGACACTTATACATATGAGCACTACTTAAAGGTGATAATACTAAAGGTCTTACCACCATAAGCAATATTAAAAAAACACCGTGAGGGACCTTCGTTAACCTTTAAATCTTTATTAGCTTAAATATAATAACAGTGGTGACATCAAACAATTTTTTCCTTATTTCCAATGTATACTCAAAATCCAGTAGCTCCAAACTCTATTAATGGGTACCTAGTAATTGATAAGTACTGCAGTTGATCAAGACATTTCACATTGCACTTCTATTTACGTAAAGATAAATTGTTACTACTAACACTGCATCTAAAATAAGACAAATCTCCCTCCAACTAAAGTTAACCCCTCATGAAATAATAATGCAACCAAGACTGTCTATCAATCTTTTAATTTAAAGAAAACTTACAAAAGTCTATTCCATAAATTTCCCACTTGGAGACACATTTTCAGTATCGTCAAAGGAAGAATGTTTATGTTCTCATGTCCATGAGATCAATCAAAACACATTTAATTTATCCAACAATACTATTAACAAACCACTCCTCATACATAAACAACATTCCACCGCCATCCAACAAGTCTATTTTACAGCTTACAACAACATCATGCATATATTATATTAAAGCTCAATCCACTCGAATAAAAAAAACGAACCTTGAGTGAACACAAGGTGTGCCGGTTTGAACACAGACGAGAAAAATTGTGTGGGTTGGACTAACAACCTGGAAAACCCTCTTTTTCGTCCAACCGAACAAGCAAACATCGGGAGATTGGCGATGGGGAACAGGAATAGGAACGGAAACGGGGTGGGACGAACAGAGAAACCTTGAACACGGACCTATCTTGCGGGCCGGAGGAACAAGATTCGTTGTCGTTGGGCACGACGGGAGCTGGGCGGCCGTGAATCGATACGGTCGTTGATCTGGTCAGGAGACCGTGAAATCGGTCCTTCAACGTGTCCGGCGGGCAACTCCGCAGCCTCCGTCGGACCACTCTCTCTCTGAACTCCCTTTCTCCAACTCTTCGGCCTCTTCTCTCAGGTCACAGTCTCCTCTCAACCTTGCGCTTCTCTCTCAACAATTCTTCCAAACTCAATTTCCAATTTGAAACGCAGATCTTGAAAACCCTGCACACCCCCTTTCCACGTCAGATTTCATTTTCATTTTGATTTTCCCGTGGACCAATCCCATTTAGACACTGTCCGTGTCTAAATGTTGTCAAAAGAGGTTGTTCAAGTATCATTTTCCAACATTAAAAAGGGTCAACTAAATACCTTGACAGAAATTAATTATCACCCAATGAAGTCTAACATTGTACAGCATCAAATTTGATCTTCAAGATTTATCTTGTAATTTACATTTATGATACTCTTTTTAGAAAAATGGAGAAGAAATACTTATTGTTAAAAGTTCCTTTATTTGTTTAAGTATCTAGTGCCTCATAAATTTACAATAGCTATATAGTTCAGCGAAATTTCCACAAAGCCCCCATGTTGGTATTAGTTTGGTTTGAGAATCTGATTCAACGCTTTAAAATTGGTAAAATAGGAGAATGAGATTTTGGTTTTGAGTGTTTGTGGAAATGACATATGTACTATATAGGATAAGAGACTATCGGTCGTGAGGACAGTAGATCGGCCATTTGGACGTCGGTCGGTCTGGTAGGCACACTTAAGGACATTAATGGATAATTAATATGAGTAATTACAGTATCATATGCATATTTATTACATTTATGAGTGATTGACAGATCATATTGCACAAGAATATGATATTAATGAACAATTAGTAGGTGTATTAGCAAGTATTATTGGATTTATTGACATATCAAATATGAATTAATGAGCTTGATTGCCATAAGCTCTATAAATATAGGGTCAAGGCCCAGGTAAAGACATCCTTTTCTATCCTAAAAAAATATAGACCTCTTTATGAAACATATCTAACTTGCGTTGCAGTGTCTTATACAGGTCAACAAACTATCAAAATGGATTGCATTCTCGAAGAGAATTAAAGATCAAAAGAGAGTAAAACA